ATACTTTTTTGAAACGACACTCTGATGGAACCTAGCTGCAACTTCAACATGGTGTTCACAATATCCCAACTTTGGCATAAATCACCACGACTAGAAGTCAACAAGTTTTTTAGTCTCCAATATACAGACTCCGCCCTAAAAACCATAAATAGAATAACATGTTTCAAACTATTATCGAAACATATATATGCATAATAATGACATCAAATTGTCACGATCCGAGTACCTGTTTGTTGTCGTGTTCCCTAAATGAGTGACTTTGTTAGTCCATGCAACAATAAATCTTTCTTTATAAGGCGTTAACCATATTTCATTCACATACTTGACAAATAATAGAATATCACCACAAACACTTTTGAAGTGCTTGAAGTGTACATCAAACTCATCTTCTGTATTTGAATACATGATGATGATGTTGTTTCATTGATCCATGACATGTTCTTGTCTTTCTGATTTTGCGTAATCTTTATATTTCATGCTCATGTTTTTTGAAATATGGAACGTACACAATAAATGAATTGCATTTGGAAACACAGATTCTATGGCATTCATTAATGCAAGTTCCCGGTCTGTCACCACAACATTCAGCAATGATTTCTCTGAATATAACAACTCTTTGAGCTTCTCTAGTACCCATGTGAAGTTCTCATCCCTTTCATGTTCCAAATAGGCAAAGGCAACTGAAAACGTCAACTTCGTTGATGTAAAACCAACAATCTTCAGTAGTGGTATCTGGTACCTGCACGATTAAAATTCACATAAACAACCAGAAACATATTCAATAACTTCACAAAATCATGATGTGGAATCAAATATTATCTATCTGTCTTGTACATGCAATAAAAAATTAACATCATATGAAACATATTCAACAACTTCACATAATCAAGATGTGTCTAGAAGATATCAGCTACAATATCTGAATTTCCCCATTTCTAGTCCAACACATGTATTTTTATAGGTGAATAAGGCTCAATAACATTTGCATTTATGTCATTGCACCACTCTTGCCCAATCTATATGTTACTCTAGCTCTATATACCTGAATAATACTTGTGAGGTTTTCTGAATCTTTGTCTTTCAAAGTAGAAATGATGTACCTTAGTGCCATATTGTACTTCGTCATGTCATTCACAAACTTTTTTTCATGATCTTTTAGACGTCCTAATATGTCATAGTCTTCCAAGTCCTTATCTAGTCTATGATTATGCATCATACATCTAACCATCACCTTCCGACCGATATCACTTGGAATAGATCTCAGCCTAAAGGGGCATTTAACCTTCATAGTATAGATGCCATCAGATGTGTTCCCAGTTTCATATTTTCTTTTGTAATTTACTCCTCTCTCACAATCCATAATTAATTTATGCTTCCTCCCCCAGATTCTATTAGTAGAATCGGAACTAACTGTAACAACAATAATACCATGGTTTTTACTAATAGACTGTGTCTATTCTAAAACATCATATCAGAATTTAAAAATATGTCAATTACAACATAAAGTTAGTAAACTTTATCAATTTCATTAATTTCAGAAAACAAATAAAAATGTGTAAATTCAATATGAAACATACATTATCTGTATGAAGAACTGCCTAAAATTTGTACATAAATCCGTAGAAGAAATTGAACCTGCCGACTCAGGACCACAAAGCTGCAAAAGGGCCACAAAGCTGCAAAATTTCATCTACAGACATACTAAAAATTTCAATTGTATGTAAAATTTCCGATATTCCGAAAACTTTCAAATTTATGATATTATACTCCCTACCGAAAATTTTGGCAATTTTCAATTTATGTAAATGTCTTTTTCAAAATCGTTGAAATTTTAAAATTACCGGTTATCCACAACCAAAAATTTTGCAAATGCTGCAAAGAACTTCTAATTAAGGCACAAAAATCATTATCGAAAATTTTGCAATAGCACTAGAAATTTCAATATAAAAGAGTGTCATGTTTAAAACGAGGGATGTCATGTTAAATTAATTTTTTTTCTGTAGACCTCTTAATAGCCCACCACATATCAATCAAAATATTAAATTAAATATTTTTGCTTCTACTTCATATAGCATACTTTTTTTATAATTGCTTTATATAGTTTTTATTTCTGATTAAAATAAATCAAAATTATGCATATCACTATAACATATTCATTTAGCAATGAAAGCTTAGCAGGAAAAAAAATCAAGATATGCTTTGGAAAAATACAAGAATCAGCGAGAAACAAAAACTTCAAAAAAAGTTAGCTGCAAACTGCATCACCAAATAGAAAGCAAGCCCTTCACAGTGAAGAAAGCTCTTGACAGCCTGCCACCAATGAAACAACAACTGCCACGTGTCCCAACCCTAGAAGCTCATCAGCCTATGCATTAGATTCTCAAAATGGGTGATGTCATGTCATCAATCATATCCAAAATCTATGTTTCCTTTTGTAGAAAGGTCACTGTTATATAAAAATAACACAAATACTAAATTGATCACTTCAACATTTTTTTTCTTAGTTTCCAAGTCAAGTGTGACGTTTGAGATGACGCTTTCATGCAACTATAGTCCAATATACAAATCATAAAACCTCTTTTAAACCCTTAGCAAAAATACATATCCAAAACTATACACAAAAGCATAAGACGGAACTTAGTTTATGCTCCTTCAGTAACAGAAAGCGTATGAAGATTGATACTGTTTCTGGGTCAGTTTTTTCTGTTCTAAATTCATGATTTTTTTTCCTTTGTGAATTTGCTTGAGTTTTTTGAAGGAACTAATAGAAAACTAACAAAATTTTGTTGTTTATTTGGGTGTTGAAATGGCTGCAGAGAAAGGAAATCACGCAAGAGACGCAGTGGTGGAAGAAGGGACTCAGTGGAAGATACGCTTGAGAAGTGGAAGAAATACAACAAGCAACAACAGCAAAAACTTGGTTGTGGAGATAATGGAGCTGAAAAGGTTCACAAAGTTCCTGCAAAAGGTTCAAGAAAAGGGTGCATGAGAGGTAAAGGTGGTCCTCAGAATTCAGATTGCAATTTCAGAGGAGTTAGACAGAGGATTTGGGGTAAATGGGTTGCGGAGATTCGTGAACCTATCAATGGTAAACATGTTGGTGAGAAAGCAAATAGGCTTTGGCTTGGTACTTTCTCTACAGCACATGAAGCTGCTCTTGCTTATGATAAAGCAGCTAAGGCTATGTATGGACCTAATGCTCGTTTGAACTTTCCTAATGGATTACCACCTTCATCATCAAGTGGTGGTTCAGGTTCTGTTGATTCTTTGAATGGTGAGGAGGATCTTGCGAAAGTTGAAGAGTTGGAGGGTAATCTTCATCTCTCTGATGAAGAGAATAAGATTCTTTCTAAAGATTTTGTTGCTGATGACGACTCGGTAGAGGAACTGAAAGAAGGGATGATAACTAGCACTGTCCAATGTAAAACTAATAAGAGATATAAGAAAATTGTTCGTCAAGAGTCCTACAAGAATGTTAAATCTGAAACACGTGGAGAAAACGAACGGGTAGAGAGTGAATCAGAGAAGGTTTTGGAGAATTCTGGTATGGGTGGAGAGTGTTATCATGTACAGAAGGAGTATATAGATTTAGCTATGAACTCGGGAGCTGATTGTGGATCTTTTGATAGAGCAGAAAATGGGATTCTGGTGAAGAGTGAAGAAACAAGTAAAGGATCAGTTGAGGATTTGAAATCCTTTGAGTTGAACTGCCAACACAATTTCTTTGGAAACCTGCACAATATGCTTCCAGATATCAATCCAATACCAGAATCTGAGTATTCTAACATCAAAAACGACGCTTCTCTTGCTAAGAAACATAAGAAGGAAATAATTTCTGAAATCAAGGAATTTGTTGAGATAAAAAATGAGCTTAAGGGATTGGAATGCAAGCTGAGAGGCCAATCTATTGATTGCAATAATGACGAGGCTCAGAGATTACCTTGCGTGCAGGGAATTCATTTGTTTGGTGATGGCAGTGTTGGACCAATTGAAAGAACCTCCCAAGTTGAGGCTTTGAACAACAATACTAATAAAAGCAGTAATTTAAAAGAAAGAGGAAATAATGGAAGTGCACCTCATGGATTTAGTTTAGGGGAAAGCAGGAAGCTGAATGATCTTTCTCAACAGCTGCAGAAACTGGGTGGTTACTTTCCTGAAAATTGGAATAATATGCAGTTTGCAGATCTTGAAGTTGGTTATGATTATAGTTTCTTAAAACCTGATTATGATTTTGGTTTACTAGAAGAGAAGAAGTTACTAGATGTATGTTTTTCACATATAGGATCTTAAAGTTTCTTGGTGCTTTATATGGTTTTTTGTTTTTCACTTTGGTGGAGTTATTTGTAGCAGGGTCTTTTTTTCACCACCTTAGTGATTCAAATAATACCATGTTTCTGTTTTCTATTCAGCATCTCAGTACTGTAAAGATACTCTGTGTACTATGAATTTTCCATTGAATTATAATTATAACTATGATGCCCTTTTGTACTTTTTGGAAGACACTTTTTTACATGATACTCTGCCAATCCATAAATATGAACTTCATGTAGTACCCTTTGGTCTCTAAAATGGTCTCTAAAATAATAAGAACTCTTTTCCTAATTTGTCATTCCCCTTTCAAAATTTATCTTTTAGTCTCATATATTAATCCTTTACTCAAATGGAGATCCACATGACATGGTATAGGGATTCATGTAAGCAATTGATGTACCACATGGCTTTATACATGCATAGTTATTAGTCACTATGTGATAGCAGTTATTCGATTACACACTATTAATGGTAGTTGACAGAAGAATCAAATTATGAACAAGAGAATGATTTGTGAAGAAATTAAATATTTATTTAGAGACACCTTCAGGAACCAAGGCAACACTTTTATATTTAGTAAATTATATATCACCTAAAGAAAAGAAACTAAGACCCTCTAACCTATTGGTCAATATAAAATATAGAAGAAATTACAGAGCACGTGCCATTACCCGACACCTAGCTCTAAGATGCAGCTTCCTTCAGCAGTGAAAATTGCAAAATGCCAGAAAGTTACAAGATTTGACTTCTATGATGCAGCTTCCTTCATTAAGCAATTTTCTCCATCCCTGTGCTCATTTAGCCATTCAAACTCTCTCCTTGTTCCAGAAAGATTTTGGCATTTGATTTTCAGCAATTTCTGCCACATCCTAATAATATATTAGTCCAGTACTGCTACTAGATTCTCTTTGAGTGCAGGGATTTAGCAGGAGAGGAGGCAAAGCCTGTATCCTCGTATAGGATCTCTTGAAAATCAGTCTTCTGCTCCATCTTTATACCATATCACATCCCATGGGCCGCTTTTGCTGCTTAATCTTAAAAAATGAAAAATAGACATGTTATCTCTATCAAAATCTTCTCATGTAACCCAACAAGCATCCTGCTTTCTCCCCATACCCAGTAGGATAGATAAAGACAGAAGAAAAAAAAAACTAATGATCAAGATTCAAGACATCGAGTCAAATTCCATTTAAACCAATGTCTCTTGTATTGTTCTACCATTGCTCGTTGAACTGGGATCCAAATATGAATAGTACAATGCATTACCCATAAAAATAAATTATAGACTTTACCTCCAAACTCCAGCTAAAACACGCAACGCCATGAAGAGAAACAATCCTGTCCAGATTCCAGGAAGTCCAACTACTGGAGCGGCCACCAGCATGAAAATTGAAGAAATTAACCCAACCAGCACCTATCCTTGCAAAAGCCAAACAAAAATAAGTAAGAGTATGAAACAACTTGAAATGTTTAAGCATCTAATAATCATTGAAGTAGGTAATTACCATCGAGTAAGCAGCATATTCAAAGTCTGATACCCCATAATAAATCCCATCAATAACAAATGCCAAAGCATTCACTGGTTGAGATCCAGCAACGAACTGCACAAATTGGTAAGTTTAGATGCTTCAAACAACATTGCTATTCAGGCAGGGTATGATTCTGTTAGACCTCTTATAAAGAATATTTATAAGAGGACAGGGAGAACTAATGTGGGCAGTAGGCAGTTATTTATTTTTATTAGCAGTTACTGTTTTTAATAATTAGTAGCAGTTACGAAATAGTGTGTATATATGTAATGTGTCTGTTGAGATCTTTTTTCCGGAGAATATTTAATAAACTTCTATTCTTATTCAGTAAATACGATTTTTATATCAGTTTCTATTAGATTCATTAATGTTGTCGACAGCAGAAGACCACAAATCTTTCATATAAACACGCCATTGCGGCCTATGGCACCGCCATGGCTGGCATTCCTTCATAAACTGCCTATGGCGGTTGTCCAAAAATCTCCCACGTCACGGCGGTGCCATGGCAGCCATTTAACAACACTTGGATTCATCCATATAAAATGAATAACAATTTGAATCTGAACATAAATTTCAATTAAAAACTAAAATGACATCCAAATGAAGTACATTTCAACTCATAGCCTGCGGCAATCAAGCAGCTGTAGAAAGTAATTCTCAACAAAAAAATTGTGATATCTTACCCATATACCTGACCGAGTAACATCCAGAACTTCTGAGTCTGAGCTAAATAAAGTAGAAAATGCTCCAAACCCAAAAAATAAGATCAACGATAAAGTGATTCCAGCTCCTAAACCAATCTGCTAGAAATGTAGATGAGAAGGAGAACAAAAGAATTATGAATCGGTGTATGTCCTAATCTGATAATAAAGGGAAGCAGATTATGGGGATAACAACCAGTAACCTGTATCACTCTACATATGACGAGGCGTGCTTGCACGTAATGTCCCAATGAGTAACTACTGGCAAGAAGAGTCTGCAAAATAATGCATAACATGTCACAAAGTTTCCGTTAAACACATTGCATCCATTAATAATTTTCAAACAGTTTGTTTGTGTCAGATTTCTAAATAATAGGAATTCCACTATTGGTAGACTTTGTAGCATCTCTATCATTTTAAAAAGTATAATACACAACCAATTCTTTCAAAACTAGTCATTTTCCAACTGTTTTATTTTTTAATAATAAGAATATTGGAAGTCTTTGCTAATGTCATTTTAGTATCTTGTGGAACGGAAAAATATGGATTTTGTCATGCAAAAGGGACAGTTTTTCAGCAATGCTAAGAAAGTTGGATTACTTTTCTCTTGTCAGCAAACATTTCAAACTCAATGATACCCAATTTGTTTGATTTAAAGGTTATGGGGAGCCCTTTAATATTTAACATACTGCACTTCATCATTATAAAACTGTATTTTTCTGGATTCATGTGATTTGCAAAGTGGACGAGCTAAACTGCCTATGCTATATGCTTTGATAATTAAATTGGTATATGTTAAAGAGTCTCACATCGAACAATATGTGGCCTAAACATATGTTTATAAGTAGGTGCAATCTTCACCTTATAAACTTGTTTTGCAGGGTTGAGTTGGTCTTAAACCATGATTCTAAAATGATATCAAAGCTCGGTTCAAAATCTGATGAGCCACATGCTATCAAATTTCTGCTATCGGATCATCTACCATCTATATCCACGCACCAAACCCATAGTGTTGGGCGTGAGAGGGGGTTTTAAGAGGTCCACATCGGACAATATATGGTCTGAACATATGTTTTAAGGTCGCCATAAGTTTGGAGGTCTTGTGTAGGTTAAACACATTTCAACTATGGCAAAAACAAATAGAGGTCATATTTATCTATAGTTTAACCGTGACAATTACATTATGAGGCCCTATTTAACTACGGTTTGACCGTGGCATTTTGGATCCTGTGGAGTAGCCCACCTTGCACGCCCTTAAAACGGTCTTGTTTATAAGTGGGGAAATCCTCACCTTACAAGTCAGTTTTATAGAAATGAATTAGACTCAACCACAATTTTAAAATGGTATCAGAGTCTGGTCAAAGATCTGTTGGGCCACTTGCTATCAGGTTTCCTCTATCGGGTCATCATATGTTTACAAGTGGGGGCACTCCTCACTTTACAAACCAATTTTGTAAGGATGAATAAGATCCAACCACAATTTTGAGAGTATATATCTGAATAAATTAAATGACCCTTTATAAGCTAGTGCAATAGTATGATCCAACCTGACCAGCCAGTGCCAGAGCATCGGTGAGTAAAGAAATAGACAACCAAACTTGCATGCAAATTTCATGGCCTGCCATAGGTATAGGGCCCTGATTAGCTGCCAAAGATGTTGTGAGTGTTATAGTTATAAACACAGCCAAAGTCCTGGCAATTAGAAGACCACCTACAAAATGCAATAATAAAAAGTAAAAATTAATCTGCATTACTCTTTACCTCGCATGTCTCTTCTGTCAAGAAATAGTTGTTAACCAAACAAAACATTTTCAAGCCAATGAACATCATATTTTGTTAAAAATGCAGAAGCATGCATTATCATAACTCATACATCAACAACAAAAGTTTTTCCCATTAGATGAGGTGGGTAACAAGGATTACATGATGTGATAATTTCATATCATATATCATGCTCAGTACTATTAAGCATATAATCAACAAAAGCCAAAAGTTATGTTATTCACATACTTGTATTTAATTGATTCATTTTAAAGATAAGACAATATTGAGATACTCGGTGAATAAAATTTAAAATCCACTCTCAAGGGCAGTTAGTGTGTCTAGGAAAAATTCAAAGATATAACACTAAAACTATTCAATAACTTTCCAATAAACTCTCATCATTTCTTTATCATTGTTAATTTCTTTGAAGGACATGGACAGCCAAAAAACAATTCAACTAAATTGAAAAGCAGGTACCAGATTTCAGATAGCTGAAAAATTTTGTCCCGTCAAAGTCAAAAGGGATTAGAAGCACTTTGCCATTCAAATTCCATAGAAGAATGAAAGCGATTAAATATCTGGTGAACAAAAAGAAAAACTATGTTAAAAGCAGAAGATCACATGAATTAAAGGACATGTGCAAAATGCACAAATAGTATTAAGTTTACTGCACTCCTGACATACTCAGAGATCACTGTAGCAATTGCAGCGCCACTAATGCCAAGACCACAAAGAAATATTAATATTGGGTCCAGTATGACATTAAGAAAGTTTCCAGCACCTGACATGTCAAGATAAGCTTTTGTCATTTATACATCTGGATAATCTTTTACCTAGAATGCACTCGTTTTTCTCCATATCAGCACTGGCAGGGCTGCAGGGAGCATTTTGCAGAGTATAAACATGTAAAAACAAGAAATTGGCAGCTTGTGGAGCGGAATAGTAGTAAAAAGTTATATAAAATCAACAGGGAAATCTCAGATATAAACTAAGAAAAAAGTCACACAAATTGGTAGAGGATCTGCTTGTTATTCTACGGAGAGAAAGAAAAGTGAAGTAAGAAAACGTCAAAAGGTTTTCACAGGTCATAGCTATTTGATTTGCTCAATCCCCAGATCCTTCATTATTCCTTATAGTAAAATTGTGTTGAACCTGCATTTAATATAGTAGGCCAAGAAGGTCTTTACCATGAAATTGAGATTTTCAAATGATCCTATAGTCGACAAAGTTAAAATTATCTTAATAGTATAAACAACAGATATTATGATTTCAGCAATTATGTCAGCTATGCAATATTCATTACATAACTCCATGGATCAGAGGTGTGCTTAAGTGTTCATTTTTGGGTAAATAGAACTATTTAAAGGCTATTAGTGATTGTAACTGGAGTCAACTGTATGCATCATATAAGTAAATGGAGAGAAAGAAAGAGAGTGGGGGAGAAAGCTGCTGCAATACTTGCCAACGGCATATAGAGGCGTCTTTGTATCCTTAAATCCACGAAAAGTGCCTTGTGCAGCTAATGCAATCACAATTGGTAGAGCACCAAAAGCCCTCAATGTAAGAAAAAGCTCGGCAGGTCCTCGCATCGGAGAGTCCTGTACAGCATACAAAGTAAAATTCATTTATATAAAGATGACTTACCCATGAAGAGCAGTAGAAACCTTTTTCTTTTTTTATAACCTCAAACCAACAATAAAGCAACAAAAGGTCAGGATATATTATACATAGCATAAAACTGATAACTGATAAATGTGATGCATAACAGTAAGTTTCTAATGATTGCTAACATTTCACAAAGTGGTTAAAATATGAATAATTAACTTTCAGGCCACAACTACATAATGCAATTAGACTTGAAAACTTTGCAAAAATTTTACAAAACTTAAA